AGTTGAAACTCAAATACTTTGGCCACCTAATGAGAAGGAAGGACTCACTGGAGAAGAGCCTGATGCTGGGAAAGATTGAGGGCAATAGAAGAATGGGACGACAAAGAATGAGATGGCTGGATGGAGTCACTGAAGCAGTAGGTGTGAACTTAAATGGACTCCAGAAGATGGTAGAGGACAGGAAGACCTGGAGGAACATTGTCCATGGGGTCGCGATGGGTCGGACACGACTTCGCAATTAACAACAACAAACAACATTGCTAAGAAATTGAATAAATATCAATGTTTAACCGCTAGAGGGCAGAAGGTACAAATATGAGGAAAGTGGGGGGTTAAATTAAATTAAATTAAATGCCGAATTATTTTAGGAGGTACACCTGAGGAATATTCTTACCAGTTGTGAAAAGGGTTTATCCCTACTATTTGGTAAAGTACTTCTTGAGAGAGAAACACCTTAGAGAATGCACATGTCCTAAATAAATAAAGTTGGAACAGACGTATTTTTTCCGGTTGTTTTCCTTTTCAGAATCACAATTATAAATGACTGAGTCATTAAAATTATTTATTGAAACATGGTAGGAAGCATTTATCCAAATTATATGGGTTGCATCTAAGATGTGTAGATGCTCAGAGGTTTGGAGAATGCTCTTGCAGACATTTGATTATTCGCAAAGGTAAAACAGATTTAAATTATAACAAATGGCATATGAGCCATAGGACGATATGACGGCAAAGAAGATAATGAAATTTTGGGCCACATCAATAGAAATATAATTTCCAAATCATGAGAAATAATCATTCCACTTGAATCTGCTTTGGTTCAGGTCCACCTTGAGTGCTGTGACCAATAGTCCCTTTTATTCAGAGAAATTGGAATAAGTATACAGAAAGGCAATAGAGTTGTTCAAAGATCTACGGGGATAAATTATTTTAAGAAAAGATGACTAAGAGATATTTTATATCTTGCTTTTATTATTTTTTAAATAAATAACTCAATGTGGCAAACATACCTAATACGCCTTACTCTTCCTACTTACTCTAAAACATCAAACACTCTGTGATGTGAGTTGGGCTAAGAGAGGGAAGTGGCGGATCCAAAGTCACCCAGCTGGTTTTTCATGGCTAAGGTGGGATTAGAACTCACAGACTCCTGATTTCTAGCCTGGTGCCGTAACCATTTGATCAAACTGGCTCTAAGTAGTATTTAATATTATCAAATTTGTTTTGAATTTGAATTATCAAACTGGAACAACCTGCCTCCAGAAGCGGTGAAGGCTCCAACACTGGAAGTTTTTAAGAAGAGACTGGACAGCCATTTGTCTGAAATGATATAGGGCAGTGATGGCGAACCTTTTAGAGACCGAGTGCCCAAACTGCAACCCAAAACCCACTTATTTATCGCTGGGTGCCAGGTGGGCGTAACCCTCTGGGTGGGCATGGCCAAGGCAGACTGGGTGGAGGTGGCCAAGGTGGGCGTGGTCACCTTGATGTTGCTTGTGGGGAGGGACACCTGTGGGGGCCAAGCATGGTTGGGGGAGATCCAGAGGGTCTCTGGCAGGTAGGGCAGTGGGCAGGAAGCTCGTCCTGCACGGTGAGGTGAGACAGGGCAGGTGTGCCATTGTCGCAGGGCAAGGTGAGGCAGGGACCTGACACCATCGGCCCCTGCACACAGAGGCCAACGAGCACATGGGGACAGTGTCCATCAGCAGCCACAGCCTGCCGCCCCCTCGGCCGGCACACTCTGGGGCTCCACAGCCTGCCACCAGCAGTTCAGAGAAGCCGCCTCTGAGCTGGACAGCCGGCCGACACCTGAGGAGGCAATGCAGTGGGTCATGCCTGGGAAAAGGAGAGCATGCGAGGCCAGGAGGGATGGGATGGGGGGAGGAGGGAGGGAAACCAGCTGTGCTGGGATGCATCTGGTCACATGGGACCTCAGCAAGTTAGTGGGTGGGTGGTTGAAGAGGGACGGTTGTCATCTCTGGGGAATGGCACGCATGCCCACAGAGAGGGCTCTGAGTGCCGCCTCTGACACGCGTGCCAGAGGTTCGCCACCACTAATATAGGGTTTCCTGCCTGAGCAGGGGGTTGGACTAGATGACTTCCAAGATCCCTTCAACTTTATTACTATTATTATTATTATTATTATTATTATTATTATTATTATTATTATTATTATATCAAATATTACTGTCCAAGCAACCAGAAGTATATCACATAGAAGAAGGTCAAGATTGTTCTCTCTCATTCCAGATTGCAGGAGACAGAACAATGGACTTAAGTTACAGGAAAACAGATTCTGATGGAATGTTATTGGGGGCAATCCTAACAATAAGAGCAGTTTGACAATGGAAGCAATTACTCCAGAGAGCTTTTCATTCATTTTCAGAGCTTCTTTTCATTAGAAATATTCAAGGAGAAGCTAGATCGCCATCTACCTGGGATGCATTACTTTGATTCCTGTGCTGAACAGAAGGGTTGACCCAATGGCCTTTTTAATCTATCTGAATGTATGATGCTATTGTGGGCAATATTGTAAATGCAACCACTGTGAAATTTAATATTTCATCTGGCTATTTTTGTGCAGGACTTCATAAATAGCACATATTTATCATTTAAATCAATTTAAATAAATCAGTGGGAGGCTCAGTTCAGAAATTGTACTTTTTATATAGCACACAATCAAATGAAGGAATTAGTTACCTCAGGAAATAGTAATGGACGTCATAATCTTATTGCCTTTTTAAGGGCTTGGCTTGAATACATTTATTGAAGTCAGTGGAAACATACACAAGACTTTGAAAATGAATGGAGAATAAATCATTTATTAATGAAGGAAGGAAAATTGCCAACTTTGAGGTACCTCTGATTACTAGATCTTCAAACTATATTTAGGATATCCAGCTTTTTAGCTACCCAAAGGCCATTTCTTCAGTTTGATTCTTGTATGGTTATGATATTTTATATAAAATGTTAGTATTATTGTGAGTGTATGCATATCTAAAATGGGAAACTATTGTTTCTTATTTGCCCAGTACATTATGGATATAATTTCATAATTTCAATAATATTTAGGATATCCAGCTTCTTAGCTATCCAAAGGCCAGCTCTTTGGTTTGATTCTTGTAATGTTATTTATATTTTATATAAAATGTTAGTAGATATTGTTGTGAGAATATGTATATCTAATATGGAGAACTGTTGTTTATCAAGTTGCTCAGTAGCATGAAATTATCAAATAACCCATTCAGATTGGAAGAATGAAGTTTTGAAGGTGGCAATGCTAAAATGGACCCATGAAATTAGGCTGCTTCAGACCAACTACTGTCTATTTGTTCCAGCTGTTAAAAACACAAAGCTGTACATACCTGTTCAGAAATTCAGTAACTGTCATTCTGTCTTTTTAAATAAGGGATACCGTAGCTGCATATTACTAAAGGGTTGCAGCAAAAATCACAGTTAGAACCATTCCCTCAGTGGTGGATTACAATGGGCAAACACTGTGACACATAGTAAAAAGTTCTTACCTGTTTTAATAATGAACCAATAATCATATTAGCCCAGAATATCCAGCTCAGCTTTGCTAATAGACAGTGCCCCCCCCCATACTTCAGGAAGCCTCATATTCTTGCATGCTTAATGCCTACTTGGTAGAATTCATCTGATTAAATTTGGAGGTTGTATCCACTGTGTTCAGCACTGATCATCAGCAAATCTCTCCCAATAAACAAAGATTTATTCACCATATTTCAGTAGTTCAACGGAAGCAGAAGCAGATGTAGGGCCTGGATGCTCCCTCTCCTTTGAAGAAATCACAGATGGCTGGATTTGCTCAACTGCATGATTTACAAAAAGGCCAACACTGGGTATGAAAAGCTCATTAAGCCAAAACAGTGAGATATATGAATCAAACCAATATTTTTCCTCCTATTTACTCTCCCTACACTATAAATGTCTAAAAATTGTCTGTTTCATCTGAGGAAAAACATCTCATTGAATACTGAGAATGTATGGGGAGCAGTTGGAGAATACAACTAGAAGAACTATGATTCTGTATGGTTCTAGGTAATATTCTATGCATATTCCTACATTGGGCAACGGATTAACTCTTATATGCTGATCCAAGCTTTCCATATTATGGTTCAGGATATGAGGTGGCAATCATACAAGAGGATTCTTTTTTATTACATGGCCCTGTTTTAACCTTCTATTTCTATTACTCTCTTCCACTCTCAAAAACCTGTTTATTCAATAAATGGGACTATCACCAATCAACTAGTCCTCCCCAATTAAACAATCGCTTAAAAAAACTACCCATTGCAGAATTTGGCAGAATTTGGCAAGCTTTCCAGGTTAATTTTAGATTATTTAGATTATGATCTATTTCTGTTGGTTCGTTCCGTTTAGCACCAAGTATGTTCCTAGGCATGTCAGCAAGCCTTCTATTTGCCCCCTGGGAATAACCCAACATTGCATTGCCAGAATGAGAGAAAGGGGGGTTTCTGCTGCAGTATTTTAGGTCCGTGATGCTCCTTTTATTCTGAGCCGACAGCAATTCACCATTACGCTTTTCACATTAGGGAAAATGATGTCTGCATTAGAGAGGAGTATAGCAAGTCTGATTCACCCAGCACCGTAAGCCATGGTTTGCTAAAGAAAACTGAACGGCTGGGTTCCCATGTAAGCAAAGCAGACTCCGGCTTCCCCGTCCTGCCCCCTCGGCTACCTGTCCGCCCCGCCCTCCCGCTGGTGGCGCTGTGGCTGGAGGTCTGGGCCGCCAACCGCAGGGAGCTGCCGTCACTGCCTGCCCTCTGCCGGGCGAGGAGGGGCAGGAGCGCGCCGAGTGACGTGTCCCCATCCCGGAGCTTAGCATGATTCATCAGCAGCTGCCGCTAAGATGCTGCGCGCAGCCCCGATGTAGCGCTTGAGCGCCGACCCTCTCGCCGCACCCCCGGCCCGGAGACTTCCCTTCCCTTTGGGCGCCGCGGGAAAAGGCAGGCAAGATGGAAGAAATCCTGAGGAAGCTGCAGAAGGAAGCGTCGGGGAGCAAATACAAGGCGATCAAGGAGAGTTGCACCTGGGCCAGCGGTAAGGAAGCGAGAGGCACCTTTCTTCTTCTTCTTCTTCTTCTTCTTCTTCTTCTTCTTCTTCTTCTTCTTCTTCTTCTTCTTCTTCTTCTTCTTCTTCTTCTTCTTCCTCCTCCTCCTCCTCCTCCCCCGCGCCAGAAAGGAAAGCCGACCCGCTCTGCCTGGGCTGCCTTTTTGATGTCTTAATGCGCGAGCTGCATCTTCCCCCGTTATCACCCAACCTGCCTTTAAAAACCTGGGGCGGGAGGGGGTTTTGTTGTGTGTGCCGTTTGTGAATGTGCTTTTGCGTCGGATCCATCCTCGGCTGTCGATCGCTTAACTCCGTGGATCGAGGGACTCTTTCCCCGTCTTCCTCTCCTGGCGATGGGTCCCCTCCGCCCACACCTCCAGTACATTTTTACAGTCACCTCTACGACGGCAGTCATTTCCCATGAACTCCCGATTGTGTTAAGGCTTATTCCTTTAGCTCTTTTTAAACTCTTTATTCTAAAGCTGGTTGTTGTTGTTGTTGTTGTTTTGGTCCCTTGGAGTCAGTTGTTACTTCTAGTATTCTGGGCAACAATTTTGTCACCCAATCGTTTCTGTGCTTAAGGCAGGGCTAGAACTTGGGTGTCCTTGCTCCTAGTACATGGTTTAAACCAGGGGTCTTCAAACTTGGCCCTTTTATGACTTGTGAACTTAAATGCCCAGACTTCAACGCTGGGAGTTGAAGTCCACAAGTCATAAAAGGGCCAAGTTTGAAGACCCCTGGTTTAAACCATTAGGTCAAACTGGCTGTGCTCCTAAGGTGCAGAAGTTATAAAGCACCCATAGGAAAATGATAAAAACAGAAAAGTGCTACAAGTCGTCCTCAACTTATGACTACAGTTGGGACAGGAAAATTCATCACTAAGCAATCAATCACGTGATTGCACCCAATTGTATAACCTTTTCTGCCACGGTTGTTAAGTGAGACATCACATGACTGTTTCTTGTGACCTTCCCTGCTGGCTTACTCATTGACTGTGTTGGTCCAAAGCCAACTGGGAAGGTCACAAATGGCCATCACAGGACCCCAGGAAGCTGATACATGGTAAAATGCAAGCCAGTTGCCAAGAACCTGGTTTGCAGTCAGGTGACCAGGTTGATGCTGTTCTGGCTATAAGCATGAGGATCAGTCGTAAGTCACTTTTTTCAGCACTATCATAACTGTGATAGTCACAAGTTTGAGGACTACTTATACGCTGATTTAATTTAGCCAATCACAAGTGTTGAGGTACTCAGAGTATCCATCCTCTCTTGGAAGAATCGGTTTTCTGATGAAAGAACTATTCCAGAGGACTTGTTGAAGGCAACTTTTATAATACAAAGGTTGTCCAAGACCCATTGACAGGTTAAAACCCTGTAGAATGGCGACAGCAGGGCCTATTAACAATTGGCATCTGGCAGCAGACCAGCCTGGCAAACAATCAGCCATTGTCTTCCAGCTGTAGCAACATACTATATATTTTTGTTTCTCCTTTAATGAAACGTACACTTAATCTATTGCTACACCACCCCCCTTTGGGATTGTTCGTTTTTAATCCATTTTTCCTGATTGGGTGATCTCTAAGTGACACTTTACAATAAACCAAGCAGGAATGGTATTGCGATCTCCATATCTGCAGGTAACGAATATTAAAAAGGAAAATGGCAACATAATAGATTACGATTATAAAGTCGCTGGCTTAATCTCCTGTGAGGGCCTAGCAATTTAGTAGTCTGCCAACAGCTTTATTTAAGCTATTTCATGATGGTGTCTGCAGGGAAGAAATTAAAATGTCAAGATGTAATCAAAGCCCTGTCCTCTTTTAACATGCGTTTTACATACATACACACACACAGACCTCTACTGTCCTGCAACTTGTTACACAAGACATTCTGATTCGAAAATGATCAAACAAGATATTACAATGTAGGTTAAAGAAAAATGTACTGTACCTCCTTCCCACCTTTTTATCAATATACGCTTTCTTGAGTGATGACATACATTTGGTATACTATATAAATGTGCACGTTGTACTATGGTAGACTGCTTCACTATTTTTATAACTTTAAATGGTTGTTTTGCCTTTGCTACTCATATATAGAGCAATAGTCTTTTTAAAGTGTTCCTTGAAATATATTTAAGATGTTTACATTGCTGGGGTTTTAAAACAACTATCCTTGCATCAATTTGTGCTAAAATAATGCAATTTTTTTATTATTCAAAGCTAGGAATGAGGTTATCTATAGGATGGATTGTTTTGTTTTCACTTACCAGTCAGAGGAAAATAGGGTAGGGATGGTTTTCAGTCCAGATTAAATTAGTATTTGTAAAACCTACTAATTCAAACAATAAAAAGTAACCATGAACGGATCATAAAGCTGTACTTTTATTTATTTTAGGATTTGAGTTTGTTACATAAATTAAACAACAGTTCATGTGCATTTGCTTACATAAGCATAATAAGCTCTTTTAGAAGTTAGGAAATGGTGTCATTTAAGCTAAAGAGACAAGATTTGAGATATCTTATTGTGCCATATGGAAAGGGAATTTACCAAGGGAAAAAATAGACCAAAATAAGAGGAAGAACAGAGCCTATAAAAATAATTTATTGGAGAAAATGTGCTTTTAATTTAGTTCTGAACTAAACTAAATACCTGCCCATGTCAATCCACATATATGTGCATTTGCCGTGTACAACTTGAACAATTTTAATCTGGGATAATCCTAATTGAGCAAAATGGGACTTCAAGTTGCATAAGACTATATGTAATGATGAATGTTTTCAGTTCCATGCTGGATGCTTTTTGAAATAATTCCTTCTCCCTTTTCTACCCAGAAACATTAGAATCTTTAGATGCTACTACCAAGATCCCTCCTTATCAGTTAAGGTAGGAAATACATTTTTTTTATTCTTTGGTTATGGCTGACATTTGAAATGAAAGAGTAAAAGTCCTTTCTGTTTTACATTTGCTGACTCTTGAAGTCAGTATAACACTGCTATGAACCAAAGATGTAAGCAAGATGACCCATTGGTCAAGTTTTCCATTTTCCTACATAGTTATGTATTTGTGATTCCGAGATACGCAAGAATGTTTGAGTATATAGACTGCTTGAAATATGATGGGAAATATTGTGTTTTTAGCTGACAGGTACTCCCTTCCTCTCTCTCAAATTCTGTAAAACCTCAGCCCCCAAAATCAACAAGAACATCACATCTATTGTAATAGGGGAAGGCTAAAGGAAATGAAGATATTAACTTAGAAGCTTTTGAAGTGCCCTTATGAAGTGCATTTCAGTGCTATCCCAATTAATGTTGCCATTGTCAATTCACATTGTTATTGCTTGTTTTGGTAATAGTAATTCCATAATCAGAGAAGGGCAATTCTGCAAAATCCCCATAGTCCAAAGCTTGCGAAACCCTAAAAGTCACAAACTACGTAAAAAAATGGAAATGGGCAAAATTAAAAGCTCAGAAAAGATTATGAATTACGCCTCTCTTTCTAATTGTTTGAAAGTAGACACCAATTTTGTACTGCATGCCCCATTCTTGCTTAGGAAGATGTGACTTGGTTAATATATTGTTTAATCATTGTGTGCGGAATGAACCACAGTTGGCCAGGCTTATTCATAAACCATCGCTTTCACTCACAGGAGCTGGGTTCATACAACATATTAAGCCATAAACAAAGCAATAGTGTTATTATTAAAGATGATAATAGTGCAAGCTTTGGGAAATGTTAAAATATCATTAGGTAATAACAGTGGCAGGATTAAGACTATAGAAGCAATGGAGCAAATATTACAGATCTGACATGAAGTTCTAGATATATTTTTGTCTTTGGGTCCATAGCTTTGACATATTTTTGATGGTTAGAAGGCCTTGGGTTATGGAGAATATCACAAAAGATATCTCTATGCTCTCTTTTTTTGTTACTTCCTATTTGCTTGCTGGCAGAACTGTTCTCTGGATTGATATTGATCTACAACAGAGTGAAATACTGACACGCTATTTTGTTAAAAGTCCAGCTTAAGTGGCTACTTATTAGCATTTATGGAAGATGAAGTGCAACTTATAGAAATAGATAGATAGATAGATAGATAGATAGATAGATAGATAGATAGATAGATAGATAGAAAGAAATTTTTGTTCAATTGTGTCCTATTCTTAGAAGCTCCCTGGACAATCCCTGCTGTTTTCTTGGTAAGGTTCTTCAGAAGAGATTTGCCATTGTCTCCTTTTAGGGCTGAGAGAAACTGACTGGCCCAAGGTCACTAGCTGCTTTGTGCCTAAGGCAGGAATAGATTATAGAGTCTCCCAGTTTCTAGCCTGGAGTCTTAACCACTACCTCAAATTGGCTGTCTACATAGGTGAATATATTATATCAGTATTAAAACAGAAGCAAGGAAAAGCTTCCTTCATAACTGGTAATAACTTCTAAGTCATTTGAAATTTCCCTCTCTAGGAAGCATTGTGCCCATGAAAATAACCATTTTTTTTTTATGAGAGCAGAACTGGCTTCAAGATTTCTTACTTTTTGTATGAGTTTGTTTCCTGACCTTTTAACTGTGGCCTTAATAGATGAAAAAGAAAAAAAATCTGAATCTTTCTCTAATTCATAACATGGTGAATTAGTCTTAAAATTGTTAGCCATGTGCCATTTATTCCCTCGCATTATGAAACAAATCGTGTTCTGAAATGTTGTATCATTGCCTTTAGCTTTGGACAACATTTTCTAATACTGTAATTACCTAGATTACCTAGGGGTTTTTTTTTTTTAAAAAAAAGAATGTCAATGATTGCTTTTGCTTTGGTTTCCATCTGCACAATAAAGGCTAAATCCAGAACTACATTTTTTTTCTCTTAACAAGTAGGGTAGGAAATTTTGAAGATTGTCTAAGCTTTTGCAGAAGGTGGGTAAAAGCCATGGGAGTTGCATGCAGCTTTTCTAAAATTGGTTCAAGTTGTTAAAAAATATGAAGACAATTTGGTTTCCTTCCTTCACTTTTAGTTTTCTAATGTTTTTCGTCTTGGGTTTCTGCCAGAATTGTGCATCTAAGAAGTGCTTTTCCCCACCTCCTTATTTCATGCATTACCAATGGCTTCCACTTAATTGCTTTAACATTTACCAAGATGATTTGGTAATCTTTGATAGCCTTTCATGAAACTAATTTTTTTGCTAACTTTATTTCAGTTTCTTCTTTCTACTTTTTTAAATTCTAAATACTTTAAATGGTCTGAAGCTTTAAGTAATCTGACTTGAGGTAAACAATCCATTGCATATTGTTTATTAGGCTTATATATCTCTCTTCCTTAAAGAGCTCAAGGTAGCATCCATAATACTCTCTTCCCCATTTTTCTCCTAGCAGCAATTTTGTGATGTAGGTTGTACTAAGAAAAAGCATCTGGCCGAAAGCCACCTATGAGCATTCATGGCTAAGCGTAGAGTAGAACCTGAGTTTTCTTGGTCTTAGTATCTATAGCCACAATGATAAATAAGATGCTTATTCAATAAGAAGAATGAAATAATAGTTCAGTGTTTTGAAGACATAGCAACAACTGAATTTTATTCAAAGAAATGGAGATTTCCAAAGATGTTCTTAGACTAGTATTCTGTATGTCAGTTGAAGTCGGCTGGGATTTTAGAAATTTCATACTATAGTTCATTTGTCTATTTTACAGTTGCCAAACCTTTTTGTTTGATTTAGTTTTATATCCTCCATTGCACAGTTAAAATTCAGACTCTAGCATTTTGAAGCTAGTTGAACCATCTGATGGGTCAAATTGTAGAATGAAGAGATTAGGGATAAAACTTTAGCTGATAAGGGCAAGAAGTATCTAATTGGTATTTAATCGCTAAATGCTGTGATGGGAATAAAGAAGGTCCCATAATATTAATCAGAGCTTTGGCTGAATCCTGTTCTTGATTAACTAATTCTAGGTTAACTAATTGATTTAGGTTGAGGTTTTTAATCTACTTCACTATAATACTGTACTCAGGTCCAAATAGGCCAACCATTTCAGATGACCGCTAGATGGTAACAGAGAAATAGAGTTTTCTCTATCGCTTTTTCCATCTAATAGTCATCCAGAGTTTTTAAACCTAACTAGTTCCATAGTTTATCAATGGACCAGTTTTATCATTTAAAATGTTGTACCTGTACCTGACAATCAATGTGTTTGCAGATTTTAGCTGTAATGCACTACATCAGTTTTATTAGAATCCACTTGTTCCTTTGCCAGATGGATGTCTAGATGATTGCCATACAGTAATAATTTTTGTTCCTAAAGGCACAACAAATATAGCAGAATCAAGCTAGAATTTCCAAACATGTTCAGAATCTACTTATACTTTTTGCTTTGTTGATTTTCTTTTCTTTTATACTCGATGTTAGAAAGGAAGAATGGGTTCAGAAATCATTTTCTCGTATTATCCTCTCAAATCCAGCCCATAGACTTTAATATTTAAGAGGATATGCCAGCATCACCAATCAGATGTTAGGATATTTGAAGTTTATAGTAGTAGGGATAGAGGCTTGAATGCTGGGTCTTTTGGTTCTTGCCTGAATAATCCAGTTTTGTTGTTGATGTTGAAAATAAGAACGAAAAAATTCCCATTTCCCCTGGTCATATCTCATATACTTTTAGTTAAAATTAATGGCCAAAGAGAGCCATATTGTTTCATGAAATGAATTACCTGCTTTTTATACCTCTTTAATACCAGCGAAAGACAGCAGACTGTTTATTATTATGTTTATAACATTATGAGGAATTGCTCTCTGTTAAGATATGAACAGTGCTGTCAATACTGCTATGTCATTCTCCAAATAAGTTTGCTGTAGCTTTCACATTTAGAGAAATACAACGTTGTTCCATCCCATTTTGTATATTAATACAACTGTACCACATTTGAAACTCTGATCACGATCAGGCTTAAAAAACGAGTATTAAACTGACTTTATTGAAATATAAATTGAACTAATATCATATCCATACTCTTAAAAAATATCAGGATGTTGGAGCAGTATTCCATTTCATTATCATAAATTGATTGCTGTTTTTGCATTACATTCATATCAAACTGGAATCTAACTCTTAAAAGGGTGATTTTTATAATTTAAAAGTGGACATCATCCAAGATAGTTTATGTGTTGTGCAAAAGCATTAAACAAAAATCCTATCAAATATTGACAAAGGAATTCCATTGTACTATATAGATTTCAAGAATTTTGCAGAAATTATTGGCTATATGGAATTGTTTGGTAAAGAGATAATTTCTTTTTGTAATGGAAGAGAACAACAGCTCTGTAGTCAGAATAAACCATTGGGTTAAAAAAAAGTCATGTAATTTTCTAAAATACATTATAAAATACATTATAAAACTGTTCTATTCAAATGTAACAAATGGTCTTATTCTGACACAGCCATTTGGAGGCTGTAAACCAGAGGTGTCAAACTGCCGGCCCGCGGGCCGGATGCATCATAGCAAAACTGCGCCCACCCCATTGCCAGCAATGGCAAAAAAGTCACGATACGCCACGACACGTCACGTGACATTGTGAGTTTGACACCCCTGCTGTAAATGTAGATATATTTTTTTATTTCTTTGTCAGAATGTTCAGCTTTAAATCCTGGCTCAAACATTGTCTTGCTGAATCACAATTAAGATGGGTTGTTGATCTATCCCTTGATATCAGTTAAAGAAACAAAGAAAAGGACACCAAAGAGGGGGAAAAAAAACTATAGGAATTGTATAATTTTGTTTCCCTCAATTGAGCAAATGATCACAGTGAAGAGGCTGATAGCAGCATAGCTGCATCAGCACCTTTTGTCATTCATGTATGGATCAAAGGGCTATAGCACAAGTAAAATAAACTTTGAAAAATTAATCATAAAAACACAAGCTATTTGATTTCTGAGTTCTAAAGAAACCTCTCTTTCTTTGAAAACTAGGGAGAAGTGCCTCCTTCCGCTGCAACTTGCTTTGGAGAGCAAGAATATGAAACTGGCACAGCAAGCTCTAGCAGGGATGCAGGTGAGTGGCTAAGGTTTGACCACATTTGGAGTTTTTGAGTGAAATAAGAAGTTGACAGGAAAAGTGAAGGATAAGAAAGCTTAATTATATAATGTAAAAGCATGCAGGCCCATAAAATGATATGAAAGATAAGCAAGACTATGTATTAGGGCTAATCCTGGGCAAAACCTTTACAAGTGGTTGTAATGTAGCCTTCCTCAAATTTTATGCTCTCAAAATATATCTGCTTATAAGAAAGCATTCTCGGCCAGCTTTCTTGGGAGTTGTACACTGTCACTCTCCCAGTTGGGGAACAATGCTGCAGTGAATATGGAGCAATAAGGAGTCTTTCATCTCACAAATGAAAGGTGGACTTTGTGAAGCCTGTATAAAAGGACATCACTGGTAAGTGTTGTAGGTCTCATATGCTTGTCTAATGAATCCTTTAAACAAAAGCCCTTGGTACACCAAGGTATACAGATGTTCCATCTTGGGATAATTGATGCTTTCATACTTTTAAGATGGAAAAAAACCACCTCTGGATGAATGAAAGAGAGGAGAAACTTAGTAACTTGTCTTTTTTTTTTTGGGAGAAAAGTCCAAAATGCTAGTCTGACCAATATTGAATGAGTGGATTGGTCGGCATTCTAAGGGCAAAGTTCAGTGCTGCACTTGCCTTTAAAATTTACCATTTCTTTATTGTTTGGTTAGTAAACTTATCCTTAATTCCTGCTGGCAAAATTGAATCTTTTAGTTTAGATGATTGTGAAAATATCTCCCTGGTCCCAGAACTAGAACTCACCTTCTGATTTTATTTACCTTATCTGAATTATAAAGGCTTTTTCTCTTCATACTACAACAGGAATTATGAGCCTCACTCTGTCTTGTGATAGGTATTGCATGCATTAAATAGATTTTACTATTCCACCAAAGCTTGCTTCCTGTTATTTGGAAAGGAATGTAATTTATTTGTAAATATTATGTTTATAATAACATAATGGGAAAACCGAATGGAAAACCTGTGACATTAAACAGTTCCATTTTCCTTTGCAGAAGCTGCTGTCTGATGAGCGATTTGTATCCATGGAAACTGACTCTGATGACAAGCAGTTGCTTAATCAAATGCTGAATGCAGTTAGAGTGACTCCATCTCTCAATGAAGACCTGCAGGTAGAAGTGATGAAGGTTAGTGTTTTACAGACGTCATTACTTGCTTGTTCGCAGGACAAGCTTCCTATCTGACTCAGCTCCGTCACTCTGGAGTCAGCTGTGTCCCTTGATTGAATTATTTTATGCCACAGTACAAAGCTAGCTCTTATGCTCTTATTCTTTACCAATGTAAGCCTGGATCTGCAGGACTTTACCTGTATTATTTTTTATTCATGTAAAAAGTAATTTTCTTCTTAGTTGAAAGTCTGCCCTCCCTTTTCCCAAGCCTTGGCTAATGAATGCTCCAGGAATTATCTAATTCTAGTACACATTCTATTTGCTCCAGGCCAGGGGTAGGCAACCTTGGCCTACCCCTGCTCCAGGCCATCCTGTTCCTAACTTCTAGCTGAGTTATGCATGATGTCTAATTCTTTGTTACTCCTATCAGTCCTCTAACCACATAGAATTGATAAAAGTGTTACACGTGCATATTCTCTATGAATGAACATTCTTTGTTCTTGCCAGACAGACTTCACAATTACAGGCATCCCATAGCCTTGCTTTGTTTTAGCAGACATCCCATCACTGTTGGTTCCAGACTACACTTGGATATGAGGGAAAAACAAAGTGGATGTCCCTCTAAGCTCTGGAGCCATAAATTATGCTGAAGTCCTATTCTGTTGTTTGCCAATGGCAGAGACAATCAGAATCATCACTGTCCTTAATAAACAAGGGTGGAGAACACTTTTAGTTGTTTGCTAGACTAAAGTAATTTTAACCAAATTGTATAAATGGATATACTGTATTATCTGCCTAAAAAAACGAAAAAGAAAATTTCTTGGGCTCCTCAAAAGTCCCTCACTTTAGTGGAAGAAATGTTTACTTCCAAATCTGGCAAACTTCTGCACCTGAATTTATATGTAGAAAACTGTAAATACATTGAATATATTGAATGTACTCTGCTCCTCTTAGAAATACAGTTTCATTACTGAGAATTAAATTAGTAGTAGTGCTGACCTGGCAAGCAGCCATATGCATCGGAAATGAGAAAAATATCAATATAACCTTGTTCTGCTGACTGTTACCATGACAGTTCCTTGCTGGAAGACTGCATGTCTGGAGAAAAATAAAATTATGATAGTGTATTTCCGTTCTCTAAGACGTGTATGTCATTCTACCTACCGAGACTATATAAAATTTGAAAAACTCATTTTTATTTTTTTTCCATAGTTTAACTTTGAAGTTTAACAAGAAAATGATTGAAAGGGATTGAACTGAAATAGCTTTAAAAAAAAAAGTAGAATAATTGAAGAGGTTGTCATTCCTTTCTACCAGTGGTGGGATTCAAATATGTGAACAACCGGTTCTCTGTGTGGATGCTGCTTCCGGAAGTCCATTCTGGGCCTGGGCAACAAAAAAATTGCTACCAGTTCTACCAAACTGGTGTAAACTGGCTGAATCCCACCACTGCTTTCTACCAATTCAGAAGCCACCAGTTTGTTAGATATTCTGGAGTGTTATGTTGGATTGGAGAAGGAGTGGCAGAACCTGGGGGCAGAATTAAAAGAAGGATCAGCCTAGAACCCTTATCTAGCCACAAGCGAACTAAGTCCAACCCCCCCCCCTTGAATTCCATTGACCCTTATCTAATTCCAAGCAGGTGCTAACCATTAGTTGAGAAGATTCTAGTGCATAGGCTTTTGAGCAGTAAATCAGTTTAATCAGACCTTCACATGAGGGCCTGTTTTTTCACACTTGGCTAGGACTTTAGAATACTCCAACCCAATAATGTTCTTTTCTGCTCGATTCAAAGTCAGTGTTTCAAATGAAAATTAATTAAATTTTGCTTAAATTCTCAAATCCTTCTTATTTCTAATATTTTTAAATTTAAAAAGTAAGGATATTCTGGAGGATATCTTCATAAATAGAGAGCTTAAATCTAATACTCCTTGTCTACTATGCAATTAGCAATTAAGCTTTAGCTTTTCAAAACTATGGAGCATCTGAGAGCATTCTTCATTACTACTGAGGAATGTTATCGGTAACAAATGCCTATTCCTGCAGAGAATTCCAAGGCACTTCAGCTGTTCTCTGAATAGGCCAGATCTGATAATGCTGTGCTTCTTCAAAAGTGTAAACCTGAAAAACCAAATAACATCTAGTTAACTGGAAGCGGGGAACTTTTGCAGGACTGGAAGTCTTCTGGGTGTGACCCCTGAAGTAAAAGAGAAAGCAGTAATGTTAGGGCTGAGATAGTTATGCATGCCTAAACCAGCATGGAAGAGATGAGGAAGGTCTATGGGCGACCTTTCGGGAATTTGGGAAAGCAAATCAATAAATGTGACTTGTTCACATTATTTTGAAAAGAAGGACCAGAAGAATAATGTTTTTGTGGGCAATCAATCCTGATTGAAAAAACAATGAGAGATTAAGGCACTTATTTCTTACATTCTGGGAATTAGGTTTGTGGGTTCCTATGTTGGGGCTAATCCGAAACAGAATGTGTATTTTGAAGCTAAAGTGTCAACTCTGTTATATACTTACTCCGTTAGTTTTTATTTGACATTGATGTTTTGTGACTGTGTCCATCACAGCAGACATTTTATGATTCAAAGTGTCATTTCCTCTTGTAGCATTCATTGGCTAACGGTGTTCTTAATAACTTCTCAAAATTCTAGATGTCTCATCGAGTCAAAAAGATTGATATGAAAGCTCTGTTTAGGATTTGTTATAATCATTTGGCTAGATTTACATTTTTTTTAAAAAAAATCCATTTGTTTTATGTTAATATTATCAACTTTGGGCTGTGAGATGTCTGCAAAAATTGCTCAGTAGACAGTAATTTTTGCTCATAAACTTTCCAGATCACTTTATCAACCTAGCAGTAAAACTGCCAAATTGTGAACATGGAAGTGTTCTGCCAAGAAAATGGACAACTCTCTGGTAGAGAAGAGACTTGACTGAGTTATTGGGTATATTTTTTCCTTGATTTGACTTGTTCCAACTTCCCACATTATCCTCAAATGTAAAAGAGCTGAGAAAGCAGCTGCATGCAAAGAAAGATGAAAATAACTAATTAATCCCAGCTCAACTATTTTCCTAAACCAGTGTCAGGAGTGACCTTTTCTAGTATTTATGAGCTATTCCTTCTTTACTGTTAATTAAAGTGATAAAGAATCTCTAGACTGAGATGATGACTATATACACTGATAAACTGTTTTTTGTTTTTTTACTCTGACTCTGGAATAATTAATCTTCATAAATTTAGTAGGTCTCCTGTGTCATGCAGACATGGAATAAAGACTCCATTACAAAGTGAATAAACAGTTACCTAGACAGAAGTGGGATAAAATAAAAATGCATTTTCATGGAGAAAATCTATCTATGTGGTCGCCAGGAGTCGAAAATGACTTGATGGCACATCAATCAATCAATCAATACCTGCATTTATTTGATGGGTGTGTTAGTTGCTTGTCTCTTTCAAGAAATATTAATTTTTCCTTAACCAAATGGAAATAGAGATGCATTGTTATTGATTTTCTGTGTTGACTAGGATTCTCATGTTATTTATTGTACAGAATTTTTCAGTCACTTTTCATATGCAGTGAAATTTAATTACATTATAATGAAACAGATTCTGCTGGATTTTCTTCCATATAAATCTTTTCATAGATTCAACTTTGCTGTGACGAATACATCCTGATCCTACCTTTGCCTGTATAGATATAAATAATACTGGTGTGTTCAATAAGATTTCCCTCTCCTTTCCAACCCCCCCCATTCATAATATAATATTAAAAAATTAATAACATGTTAATATGTACTTAACTGCAGTGAATTTTGGTAAAAATAAACTTGAGAACAATATTATATCATTTATTATATGTGTATCGGATTGTGATGGGAGATAAAATAAATGCTCTATTAAACCGCATTTAAGGTCATAATATTCTTTATCCTTTTTGTGAGGTTTAAGATACTGCAAGATAGCTAAGAGTGGCTTTCCATTAGTGAAAGACATTTCTGTTTCTGCAAGGTGGACCGTTTGGCATTTGCAAATCTCTCCTACTCAGTTACAATGTTTGCTCTGTAAATGTCAAATGTCATGTATAATTACTTCCTTGTTCTGTCAGACTGGCAGAACAGGAATTGCAGTATTTTTACTTATCTAAATCACTGTTGTAAAATATTTGGCATTTCCCAAGTCACTGTTTAAAAGTGCTCCTTGAAAATCCACAATCCTGAATCTAGTGTCTTAAAAAGGGTATATATTCATTTGGGCTTTTGAAGAATGTGAAATATTGATTCAGAGAAGATGTCTAAATATTGCCTCTGAGGCAGTTTCCCATTACAGAACCAAACTAGCTTTAAACTAAGCAATCAATATGATCAACCCAGACCAGGAATAATAAGTCTGCTAATGACAATAGTGCCATTCATGCAGAAAAAGCAGCTCTAGTTGGCCTGTGTTCAGTAGCATTTACCGTGTATGTGTGGGGAGGGAGGGAACAGAAGAGTCAAAATGGTAGGCACAGCAACACAGTTGAAGCACCACTTCTCTTTTACATGCCTTAATAACATATGCATGTCCAAATGGCGGGCTTAAATAATGTTTCTACAACTGCCATTTTGACACTTTGATTACTCATGCGGAGATCAAGCTTGTCTGTATTCTCAGTTGTGGTTGTTCTTCATGTTTTTAACCATTTTTAAGTATTAACTTTGTTAGGCTACATAATATGATCCTCCAGGTACAATTAATTTTATTTAATTAATTGCAAAAATTGCACAAGTGGGTGGACTTCCGGAAATGGCGTCTACGCACTTCAAGTGGGCCATTCTGGACCTGGGAGGCTTCCGTGGCTCAGAACAGACTTCTGGAAGTGGCGTCCATGCACTTCCGATGGGCTGTTCTGCACCTGGGAGACTTCTGTGGGTCAGAACGGACTTCTGGAAGTGGTGTCCACGCATTTCCGGTGGACCATACTGGGCCTGGGATACCTCCGTGGCTCAGAACAGACTTCTGGAAGTGGCTT